CTCGTGATAAAAAGCAATAATCTATGTTCATTCAGAAACAAGACGAATAAAGGGCTTTATATTGTAATCGACGAGATACAACCTTAGATCTAACGAAATACCCTTGGCTTATTTTTAACAAGTAATATTTTAATTGCCACAATAATAGGCCATTTTCTCTTAATGAAACAAATATAAGATCGTCAAGAATTCATTTTAATTGCTTTTCTTTTTGGATTACATTAGAAGAAGAAATCGTAATAAACATTTTTATGTTCAGTTAGCCGGGTTCTTTTAATTTTAATTTCGTTGCTTATAGCATTTAATTTCTGTTCTGTGATATTTTAATCTACTCTTATTTCTTTCTTTGTTTTTATTATTATTTAGTTTTTCTTCTCCCACATCTTAATTGTTTTTATAACATTTTTTAGAAATTTTTAAACCCGGGTATTGTCTATTCTATCGAAAATTTTTGAATAGTGTTCTTAAATCAAACATATTTAAAGATTGAATAATGTTAAATGATCCTTACGATCTTGCAAGTCTGCAATCTCATATATCCCCACTGAAGGATGTGTTAATTAATTACAGTAAATTATGAAATAGCAAATGAAAAAAATTTTGTAAGTATTGATTTTAGAACGGATGAAAATCGATAAAATCTTTAAAAAATGAAGTTTTAGAATCGTCAAAATATGAAATCTTTCACGATTATTGAACTGAATCATGGTTATTCTTTAAAATGCTTATTTATAAGATGTAATCTACATAAAAGAATGGAAATTGTAAAACTTATTTTTTATAATTAGAATAATTTTGTTGTAAATCTGATTTAAATTTTATGGCTATTACCTTTAAGATAAACCACATAACAAAAATAATTCTTTTGTCGATGGATACAGATTTTGTAAAGATTTACAATTTAGGAAATGAGATTAATCCGGATTGGAAGCTTATATCAATTAACCTAGATCAGAGAAGACTTATTGCAGTTAGTAAGAAGACTTTTTTTTGATCAATTGTATATCTACTTTGATTCTATACTATCTGCCAAACCCAACTAGAGAATGCTATGAAAGTACAAGTTCCGAAAGTCTAACTGTGATGTCGTTATCTGGATTTGAAAGAGAAGTGAAGATACCGTAGGATGGTGAAGAATTTGAAGTGGAAGACTTCTTCTATTCACATCGACGTCTTTTACGGACAGTTCATCGAAAGCTCTGTCTCCGTCTACCAAAATAAAGATAGAAAAGATAGGCGTGTCACCTGCAGTCAGTGGTAACTGAAAGATTTCAAGCCATTGCCTTCTATTGTTGTGTTTGAATAAAACGACTCTTTCGCCCAAGCCATCGTTTATTCAGCCAGCGGTGTTGCTGACGTCTTCCAAGCTAAATATCCTCGCTCTAACCTAACTTGATGAAAATAAGAACCACTTAAGTATCGAGACACTGACCACAGGAAGATTACTGCATAGTCAGCTGTTTCCAGAATACTTAACTTGTATAAAGACAAACTGCCGTCGAGTCATGAATGTTGCATTCTTGCTTGCTTTAAAGGAAAAATTTTGAATTTATAACAATTGTTACTTCTCTGTGGAAATATTTTTGATAAGTTGATTCCAGAAGACTCATATTTCTCGAAGAAAGCATTGTTGTAAACAATTCTCTCTCTCTCGTAACTTTAGAAATTCTCTAAATTATTAAATATACTGATTTAAATGATTAAAAAATTTTCAGAATTATAATTTAAATTTTTTTAATACAATATCATCGATTATTATACATTTTTCAAACAATAAATAATAATTTAAACGGCTGAGTTAGATCTAATTACAATGTATATATACATTTTTTATCGAAACCGTGAAAGTGTAATCCAAGATCATTTGTACTCAGATAATTTCATTTGTCCTGTTGAGAAGCTTTGTTATTCTCCACCTACTCTCATTATATAAAGCATTTTCTCCTTTTGAATTATGTCTTATGCTGATCACGTCCTTACAAATACTGCAATCCTATTTATTGTTTTGTTATAAAATATGACGAGACGACAAAGATTCTGAAATCACTTCCATTCTAATGATGGTCTGAATATTTTAAAGTGGTTTCTCTGCCTAAAAACTATCATTAAATAAAAATGATGTAAAATTTATTGTTTCAAATTCTGCGTATCAGAATTACTTTCAAAATTAAAACTATGCAAAAAACATTATTAAAATGCATGGTTAGCATATAAATTAAACAACAAAAACCATGATTAATTGCATATTTTTTCCTCTTTTTTTTCAACTTTTAACAAATCTCCCTTTTAGTTTGTATTTTCAATATGCGAAATTGAAACAGAAGTGAAAATCTCATACTTCATTGTGCTAACTTCATTCAGAGAATGTAAGCCGTTTTTCAGATTGTAGCCTTACTACATTAACATATTTAAAATTTGCTACAAATCTTTTCACGCTCGAAAGTGAATAATAATAACAAGAAGAAATTTAGCTTTGCAAATCAGCACGAAACTAGACGATTATCAGTTGCTCAATGTAAGCAATGTTTAGAAAAGATATACAAAACAGAAATTCTGTAAATAAATCTCAAAGAAGGGAAAAAGTAAAACATTTTAAAAATAAATAAATAAAATGAATATTTAATGCATTAAAATGCACATAAATTCAACTTCTTTTAGATATAAAAGAAAAAAAATATTAATTAAAGCTAAGATAAATAATCGTTAGAGAAATATTTATAGAACTTTAGATAAAATAGGTATAGACGAAAGATGAAAGAAAGAGCGAAATTAATTGATTGAAAGAGTGAAGATGAATAATATATAAAAAAGAAAAAAGTAGATTTCATTCCTAAAATAACAAAGAGAATTGATATCTAAATAAAGAAGAAACTACGATATGAAAAAAACAGCGTAGAAAAATAATAATTGAAGTATCTAATAAAAATTTAATAAAAAAACCCATAAAAATTAGGTGCGCAAAAATACAATATAAATCGATAAAACTAGAGGAATTTACGGTATATTAATAGAAAAATTTTATAAGTTATAAAATTAAAAAAGTTGTAAATAAATTTTACTTATTTAATTTAAAATTAATAATTTTATTTTATAAAATAAATTTCATAATTCTTTTATAAATGATCTGAACAAATAAAACTAATTGAGTATTGTCAAAAAATAAAATTTTCCAAGAGTGATAAAACTGTTTTTAAAATTAATATATAAACTTCTTTATGTTTAAAAGATGTGGAGCAGAGCTTTTGTTGAGCCAGAAGCGACATTTTAATTACAAACATGATGATACATTGACGAACAGAATGCTGGCTAAACTCAAGCTGGTGTATCGACCTTGCCCAATGCGCAAGAGGTCGACCATTTAGAGCAGTAAGGTCAGTCCGTCCTGTCGCAATTAATGCATTCATTGTTCCTACTCACTACAGCCGATCGCTTTGATTGTTATTTCACTTGGGAATATTATTACTATATTTAACCAGATTACTACATTCCTTGGGATTCTATGTTACGTGTCCCTGATTACTACCTTGAGTGCTGCTAATATATCTCTGTTAAACCTGTATGCAGCTCCTAACCATTATCGTAACGTTATTTTTATTGTTATTAGTGTAACAATCGTCTAAATATTCTTATCTTTTTCTTATCTATTTCTAAATGCTTACTATTTTTCAAAGGGTAAAATCTTTTAAAGATCTACACAAATAAAATCTATCTGTAGTCTATAACAATAAGTTATCAAACATTTTTCAATCGGTTTCGTTACATAAAATAGCCAAGAGGAAATGAATAAAGGATGAAAAATTATATTATTTGTCAAAGAAATTAATATTTTTTTAAAAATATTTTAATGAGTATTTTAATACGTAAAATATATGATTATATAAACCTAATAAATAACTCTTCATAAATATTTTCATAATTAGGTTAGGGATCGTTTACAAAGAGCACTATTGTTTTCTGTATTTTAAAAACGTTATTGTCATTTATTTTAAAATATATCTGTAACAATATTATAAACGATCCAGCATCTAGACAATCAACACTGTATTTGGATGCTGAACACAATTGTTTTCAAATTCAGCTGTGGACAGTCTAACAAGAAAATCAGCGGGATGCGGTATAACATTTCGCAATTTGTCATCCCTTTCTCGCTTTGTAGCTGCATAAAGAGCATTAAGAATTGTCAAAAGACCCACGCTGTGCTCACCTCCACCACATTCTACTTCAATTTTCGTATTTTTATTCATTGTTATCCATAAAGCTCGTCTACAAAGCTTCGCTCAATCTATTCATTTTTCTAGGTTTTGATAACTGTAAATAGTGTTGAAAATTACATAGAATAATTTTTAAAAATAAGTTGAGGCTGGAATTTAATTTACATTTAAATAACAAGATATTCAATTTATCTTTTAATATATTCTCGGCGAAACGATTTAAGTGGTATTTGTTTCATAAAGGCTGCGGTTCTCCTCAAACAATCAAACGTTCTTGACGATGACATTCTGACAGTTCCAGCAATATCTGCTTTCCTTATTACTTAATCTCGATAAGAAGCGGCACTTCTGTTGATAGTTATTAAGAAATTTAATCATTTTATCAATAATCTAATTTTATAACTTTCTAAATTAATTTCTGATCAAGTTAAAACTTTTATAATTTTTCCTTATTAAATACATTATACAAAATAAAGCATTTCGTTTAAAGTATAATATTTAGACTTAATAAAAAAGTAATTATAAATTAAAAATACACACGTACAGTTTATAAAACAATAAGTTAATTAAGGAACGTATTAAGTCTAAAGTCTGTAGTCAAAGCATAATTTGTGCGTCTTATTTAGGAAGCGTTTTATGTTATGTAGTCTTTACAGTGTATATCTGAAATGTAGTAGTGAACGGTTACGGGTTACACCGTCGACCAGCGCCACTATGCGGCCAAGTTGTTTTCCACATAAAATGCTTCTGCTGATAGTAGAGGAAGCACACTTATCCAGTACACCGGTGTATTGACGACTACGATCGTTGTGTGTGTTCCAAATCGGTTATCTACAAAACCAAATGAGTAACTGGAAAGTCATTGAAAGAAGTAGTGAAACCAAACAATGGTGATTCGTTTATTTAGTGACGATTTTCGGTTATGAATTTTCTTTCGAGGATATTATACAGTGAGTATTGTGTTCTAACCAGATACTTTATAACCCCTCTCAAATAAAACTTCTTTAAATACAATTTTCTTTTAAATCGTTAAATATTCATGTTTTATGTTTATAGATTATTAATCAACATAAAAGTAACATTACTGTATTTTAAAGTTAATTTCTTACATTTATTAATTTGATATGTTAAAAATTACCTTAAATTTCAGATTAAATATATTTATAGACATAAATGATAATTTCTTTTATAAATTGAAAAATTATATCGTTGTATGTATGGATATTATGAATTTGTCACCTTTCAAGATATTATATTCCGAAAAATATTTATAAGTTTTGATGCTGAATAACAGAACAGATTTTAATTTATGGTGTGTGAATGCAAATTATACTGAACATAATGTTGATTCAGAAATAGTTCTGTGAAATTGGCTGAATGAGACATATTGATCGCTTGTTTAGTGCCTATCTACAGTCGGAGAAATCTACCGGGCAGATAAACCTCAAAGTCTCACCAATTTTTCATTAGTTAGAAATCTTATTCGTCTTGTTAATGATCGAAAGAATTTGAATCCTTGCAAGAAATTATCTGAAGAAACGTTATATTCTTCTAACAACATCAATTCCATTGGCGTGTTTACTGCTCGAAACAGTGCCAACTTATGTAGAAGTTAGACAGTCGAAAAAAGTATTTTACATTTTGTAGTTAATGCAAGAAAATTGCTTATATCTTAAGTTGGTGCACTTAGGCAAAGATCCAGACAACAACCAAAAATTAGTGTCATTGCACTGTTGGAAGTCCATTGTCTTTTTTGATTTCGTTATGGCAAATGTAAATTATCAATTTTCTATTAACCGTACAAATTTATCAACTGCTACGTTTTCAAAAACATTCATTGTAAGAAGATATTTTCACCCTATTGATTGCTTTCCTTCAGTAGTAGCAAATTGTTCTCCTGTAGAATCAATTGATATGTGAGAATCCTCTGCGGTAAATTCTTTGATGTTTTAGTGTACTTTTGAAGGAAAATGGTGAATATTCTTATCAAGTTTAACTAAACAACTCGTAAAGTAATCGCAATTTTACAAGAACATAATCCCAGATAAATCGTGGAAAGGTTCTCTTTTTTATAAGTCATGTTATGCATATCTAAACCTAGTCAACTTTGAAACTCTTTTACCATTAATTAAGATTATCCTTTTATCTTTTCTAAGAATTTCTTCTAACCAAATTAGTTTTTCATATAATTTTATCGCATTATGATATTTATTCACTTTTTTAAAATACTAATGACTTTTTATTTTCTATCCTTTGATTTAAAATTGTATTAAGTCAATTTACTATGATTATATTTAATTTAATTTATACATTGAATAAATTTTAAATTTCGAGGAAACTACATTTATTTTATTTTGAAATTAGTTCATTTATTCTAGAAGCACGATATTTTAATATAAAAATATATAATGTCGAATTTAAATCAGAATTCTTTAGACATAAAATGAAAATATCTTAACGATGTTTATAATAGTAATAATTTTATTGAATTAAACATTTTCACTATTTGCTTTTTAATTTTTAATATATTTGTTTTTATTGTCTCTATATTTTACTTTAAATTTTATTCATGGTAGAGCAATTGAAACGCAATCTACATTAAAAGCTTATTTTGTTGTAAAGGAAGGCTCGTAAATAATATCTTCTTTCGCGCAAGAATTTATATTGTAAACTGATACTACAGTAACTATCTCTTTACGGTAATTATCCTCTGCTACATTCCATTAGACCAGTGATTGGTTGTGTGGCTGTAACAGAAACACGGGGCCTATCTTCCCGTTAAATTGATGCCTAACAGCATCACGTTGGATACAATCTTCTTTTTTCTATCCCCGAAATAACTTATTGACACAATATTTCATCTGATAGAAGAAAGATCATGTCTCCACCATTATTTGCTTTCATGGCGTTAGTGGATGATGCCAAAGGTAAATTTAACAATGCGAATATACAACAATTAACATTTAAAATCATCTACGATTATCCGTTATTTTATCATTGAAAACAGAAGAAAATTTAATTTCTGGCGATAATTTAAAACATTTTATTAGTGAAATTAGTAAATTTCACTCCATTTAATTAGCGGATATTTTTTAGTCTTTTATTTTATTGAGTTCAATTTGCAAACAATGAATTATAAATATTCGTTGACGGTATTAATTTTTTAATAGGAAGATTATTTGCAAAGTTGGAAGAAACAAATTTTCGGCTCTAAAAGTTTAAATCTTCATTTATTAGATATTTGATTATGTATAGTTAAAAGGATTAAGTAATAAGAATGAAAATGACCATTAAATTTTATTTGTTGGCCATATAAAGCGATAATCTGGACCGCAGTCCAAAATGACCGATTTTAATCACCGGGAGCCGTAAAGAACTTATCGTTGTAAGGAATATATTATAGAATTTTTAAAATAAATATTATATTTGACCTTAATATAAAGTTAACGTTTGAAGCTTATGAAACTATAAATTATGTATGGACCGTGTGGCATACTGTATCAGACCGTGTCGCGGGTCGTGATAACCTACTATAACCTGCAACGTTTTGCATAAAACAGCAGCAATATGTACTATCTGAATATACATAAAGCGACAATATCATGTTTTGCGATGGATTAGATTGCTTCGTAATAAAAATAAAAGAAAATTTTGTTAACCGTAAGTATGGAAAAATGTGATATAAGGTTCCCTGGCGAATCAGTATTTTCAATTTTTTACTACATTTCTTAAAGTTTAGAAAAGTGATAAAGCTTTGCTGTCTTATCTAATAAACTAATCTAAATGTAAATAAATTCCTATCAGATTACATCAATCCTAAAATTTAAAAATTTCCGATATTTCTTNTGGATCCTTGTTTAAATATAGCAATGCAGAATATTACAGTTAACATTCCTTAATTATCAAAAATCAGTCTTAATTATATAAATTTAATGCGGAATTTTGAAATTAATAATGATAATTATTTACAAAAAAATTTTCCTCCTTAATCGCAATTCTAAAGACTGATTAATTAAACTGCTTATTATTGCTATTATTAATTAAATTGTTTATTGTATAAAGCAGAAAGTAGATTTATATCATTTTTATTCAATGTAAATGAATTATCAATTCGTGTATCTTAAAATTAAACTAATTATTATTCATAATAACCACATATTCTTGCACAAATATATAATTATAAGATCAAATATTTGAATTCTTAATACATGTGAATTAAGGTTATGTATTTATCATATGATGCTTTATGCCAAAGATTTATCTAGCACATTCAACAACATACAAATCATTTAGATAAAATTAGAATGTTGATGGAGCCTTGTAAGCTCTTATGAAAGTGAACATATTGATATAAATGTAGCAAGTCAAATATTTGCTTTCTTCGAATCTATAAAATTGAGCAAATAAAAATATTCTATATAAAAATAATAATAATAATAATGAGATTTTTATTATATAACTATTTATTAATAATTATATTGTGCCTAGAAATCATACTTTCAAAGTTAAAAATCATATTTGTAGTAAAGTAGATTTCTAAAATATTAATTTTCTAATTAGACAATAGTTTTTTATTGGTTCTAAATAAACTGAATATATTTTTTAATGTATTCTTATATATATCATTTACGGTTATTAAATTGTTAGATATAATAAATTTAATAATGTTATTTTCGATTTATTACCCTTAGCTGTCATTGATAAGTAGATGTGAGAATTCCTAAAGGCTCATAAAAATTGGGTTAGATATGGTATTGTTCGTTTCCTATATAAATTTACAAGAATTGTTACAAGTTGTATGAGCTGCTCGAAACAGTGCCAACTTATGTAGAAGTTAGACAGTCGAAAAAAGTATTTTACATTTTGTAGTTAATGCAAGAAAATTGCTTATATCTTAAGTTGGTGCACTTAGGCAAAGATCCAGACAACAACCAAAAATTAGTGTCATTGCACTGTTGGAAGTCCATTGTCTTTTTTGATTTCGTTATGGCAAATGTAAATTATCAATTTTCTATTAACCGTACAAATTTATCAACTGCTACGTTTTCAAAAACATTCATTGTAAGAAGATATTTTCACCCTATTGATTGCTTTCCTTCAGTAGTAGCAAATTGTTCTTCTGTAGAATCAATTGATATGTGAGAATCCTCTGCGGTAAATTCTTTGATGTTTTAGTGTACTTTTGAAGGAAAATGGTGAATATTCTTATCAAGTTTAACTAAACAACTCGTAAAGTAATCGCAATTTTACAAGAACATAATCCCAGATAAATCGTGGAAAGGTTCTCTTTTTTATAAGTCATGTTATGCATATCTAAACCTAGTCAACTTTGAAACTCTTTTACCATTAATTAAGATTATCCTTTTATCTTTTCTAAGAATTTCTTCTAACCAAATTAGTTTTTCATATAATTTTATCGCATTATGATATTTATTCACTTTTTTAAAATACTAATGACTTTTTATTTTCTATCCTTTGATTTAAAATTGTATTAAGTCAATTTACTATGATTATATTTAATTTAATTTATACATTGAATAAATTTTAAATTTCGAGGAAACTACATTTATTTTATTTTGAAATTAGTTCATTTATTCTAGAAGCACGATATTTTAATATAAAAATATATAATGTCGAATTTAAATCAGAATTCTTTAGACATAAAATGAAAATATCTTAACGATGTTTATAATAGTAATAATTTTATTGAATTAAACATTTTCACTATTTGCTTTTTAATTTTTAATATATTTGTTTTTATTGTCTCTATATTTTACTTTAAATTTTATTCATGGTAGAGCAATTGAAACGCAATCTACATTAAAAGCTTATTTTGTTGTAAAGGAAGGCTCGTAAATAATATCTTCTTTCGCGCAAGAATTTATATTGTAAACTGATACTACAGTAACTATCTCTTTACGGTAATTATCCTCTGCTACATTCCATTAGA